ATAGTTATCCTATATTAAATTACTATAGGATAAAGGGTGAAAACCATGTGTACTACACTTTTGAGTAGAAAGGTTTTACTTCTTGGTTTTGTTTTCAATTTTTATTATTGTTGTTTTTTATTTGATTTTACTTTGGATTTTGTTATTGCTATTAGATTATAAATGAAATATTTTTATTATTGTTGGATTTTGTTGTTATTATTAAATTTCACCTTTTGGATTTTGAGATCTCAATTCTCCCACTCAAAGGAAACAAAAGTAATAAAAACCAACCATCCCATTCTAATCTTAATCATTACCAACCCAAGCAAATCATGCTAGCAAACTAGTGAAATTGCTAGATAGTATATATATTGTTATGAATTTGATTATGAATGTGAGATATTGACTAAATAATGTGGCCACAATGCTCTACTAAATATTTTACCTTAAAATAAAGAAGATCAATAGATGCGCTCGATGTGAATCTAGAAGATACTTATTGTCTGATTGATCTTGGCACTAATATCACTAGTAACATTTAATGAGTTATGTATATCATGATCTAGAAGCCACAACAACAAATAAGTGTTTAAGATCTAGATGGAGCTAGAGAAGATCATGATGAAGAGCTAGTCATAATAGCAGATCTAGCATCAAATTATGAAGTAACAACAGCCTCATTGAGACATGGAGGAGCTATACAAAGAGCTAAATAAAGCCTTAGATTTAGATAAACTAACTAGGCAAAGAGGTTCAACCTGAGTTAGGTGGAGCCTTAGATCTAGATAATGATCCAAAGCTTGGGGAAGTTATAGTAGCACATTGGGAGCCAGAGGAAGAAGCCTTGAATTCAAATTATGATCAAAAGGCTAATGGAACTATAACAACACCTTAGGAGCTAAAGGAACTAAATAGAGAGTTTGAATTTGAAAGTACTTTCATCCAAGTGCAATAAGCAATGGATGAATAGAACCTCTCCTTAACTGCACAAAAAGGCATTCTACAAAATTCTGGAGATGTGGTCATAAAGAGATTATTATCGAGATATAAATCATTTGGAATGGTATCCATGACAAAGTCCCATTATAGTGAAGGTAACTTTATGTTTCACTATTTTGCATTAACCAAGTAGCTAAAGTTACTAATATTAAGTGTGTCATCCTGTTATAAATACCTTCGTTTGTGAAGAAAATAAAATGAATGGCTTGAAGAAACTTTAAGGAATTCTAGCACAGCAATAAGCTTTGGTAGAGTCATAAATTTCATGATTCAAATTCATCTTTTGAATTAATCAAGATAATGTATCATTCAAATTTCTATCCTCTTTTCTAAAGGTTCTTTTTCACAAAAAGTGATCTTTATCACTAATGGTGGATGAAGTTGTTTCAAATCATTACCACTATTTTTTATTCCCTTTCCCAGGAGTTTAATTAAAGAAGATATCAAATAAGTGTTAAGCAACTTTTAGCAATGATTTGGAGTACTTCTCCTCACAAGGGTAAAAATGAATTTCAACTATCCAAAGATCAGTGATTTATATTGAGAGTTTTGCTTTTTGCTTTTGTAAAAGATTATTTTGCTCTATATAAGGCCAAAATATTTCTCTCTAGAGCTCCTTATTATTGTTAACACATTTTTTTAATGAGGAGGGTTATACAACATTAATATTGAAGAAAAGAAAAAGAAGACAAAGGTTATAGTGTATGTCAATAACTGATTGCAAAGCAAATTTCTAATATAAAGAAGGCTTATGAGTATACTCTTTGACCATATCACAGAGCTACACAAAGTGTTATTAATAAAGTCTTAGTGACTTGGTATATTAGGAGTATCAGACACAAACTTATGATGAATTTGGAAGAGAAATAAACTTTTGTTTTTATTTTAAAACTTTAGAGGTTTTACAAGATATATAAATTTTATTTGTTGTTGCTTTGAAAATTTTTGCAATATACTTTTTATAGAAATTAAGTGCTATGATGTGCATTCCATCATGGACAAGATTTACTGCTTGATCATAAAAGGGAAGTTGACAAACTTGTTATATATATATTTAACAATAAACATTTTTTGATATAGTGGGAACCATTTGGCTTCATGAATTTGAACAATGCCAGTTATTTAATATTAAAGAAAGCAAGGCATTCATTCAATTTTTCTTGCTGTATTTGCTTCTCTAATTTCCTAATGTTCCCAAAAAAATTTTAAATTGATATTATGCACTTATTATATACATATATAATTGCAAAAGGCTAAACAAAAAGTGTTTTTTAAGTTGAAAAGACACTCTTATGTGCTTTTGGTGTTCATTGTAAAAACATCTTATAGGCTAAACACATCACCACTAAGTTTGTGGTTTTTATCTTTTCCATTCTTAATATTCATTTTTATTATTCATAAAGTGGGGAGATGATCAATGATGTGGAGTGGTATGGACCATGTCACATAATATGGTGCTATAGGTTTAAGAGGTGCTAAAAAGTAGTTCTAGCATTACACAAGCTAAACGGTAAGACATTGAAAGTGAAGACGCCCCAAGGTGTCTGAAAGGCCGTAAGATCTCAATGATTAATATTTAACATTCTGAATAATTGACATATTTCATTTATATCCTTTGCTTATTTTCTATTTTAATAACTGGTAACAAGTTCAATTTATCACTTCTCAAGGCTTTTAGCAACTAAATATAATATATTGACAATGAAGACGGCAAACTACCTCTAAAGTGGCTATGAGCTCCTATTAAAGCAGTTGTACAAAAAGTCATGGAAAGAGTGTCAAATATACATGTAATAAATTGTTGATTATTGCAAGTTTTGAGTTGATATTTTGATGCACATATGAGCTCAAAGAAGGAAGCTCAAAAGGTCTGGAATGAACTTCTTACATATGGAAGTCAATTGTTAAATTTGTTGAGAGGTGTTTTTTATGAAACATGCAGGATAGTGATATTATAAGTGGACATAAAGTAGAGAGTACATATTTTTACATGCTTAAAAGCCATATTTTATTTTTCAAAAGAGTTATTTTAAATTCATCAGAAAGGAAATATACAGTTTCTTTCTTTGTATTTTGTTTTATATGGCTTGTTATTTTTAGCTCAAAGCTATAAGAAACACTATTATATGGAAGAATTCTTCTTTCCAATTTCAGATATTTTACATCAGTATCTTTTGTTTGAGCTTCACAACAATATAAATTTAGCCTTTGAATACAATGAGTTAAAGTTCCATGACAAACTACTTTAACTAGGACATATCGAGAATTTATCTAATTTATCCACTAAAAGGCGATATTGTTAAAGCAATTTCATCCACTATCCATCCACCATCCATCATGAAATTCAGCTTTTATAATAATACAAGAGTGATGGATGGAAAATCAATGCACATTGACAAGGATCACCTTATATGAAAAAGAGCCTTTAAAAATGAAGATAGAAAGTTGAATGATACTCTAGCATAGTAGAAAGTTTTAGCAGAATCATAGATTTTGAAATCCTAAGTCATCTTTTGGATCAATGAAGGTAATCATTGATGGAGTTCCTTCAAGCCGTTTGTTTCATTTTCTCCACAAGCAAAGGTATTTATAGTAAGATGACACACTCAATATTAGTAATTTTAGCTACTTAGCTAGTGGAAGATAGTGAAACATAAAGTTACCTTCATTGCAATGGTACTTTGACGTGAATACCATTTTAAATGATTTATATCTCAATAATAATCTCTTCAGAGGCACACTTCTGGAATTTTGTAGAATGCTTTCTTGTGCAGCTAAAGATAAATTCTATTCATCCATTGCTTGTTGCATCTATATGAAAGTCCTCTCAAATTCAAGCTCTCTACCTAGTTCTTTTGACTTCTAGTATGTTACTATAACTCCATCAAGCTTTGGAACATAATCTGAAATTAAGGCTCCTTCCTCTAACTCCTAGTGTGCTATTATGGCTTCCCCAAACTCTGGATCATAATCTAAATCTAAGGCTCCACCTAACTCAAATTGAAGCTCTATGCCTAGTTTTTCTCGCTCCAAGTGTGCTACTATAGCTTTCCCAAGTTCTAGATCATAATTTGAATCTGAGGCTTCACTTTAACTCAAATTGAAGCTCTTTGCATAGCTCTTCTAAATCCCTATGTGCTATTACTGCTTCACAATTTGATGTTAGATTTGCTATTGTGGTTAACTCTCCATCATGATCTTCCACCTAGATCTCAACCACTATCTACTGCTATGGTTCACAATCTACAAAACTCACTAGATCTTGATAACAATGTTGGCACCAAAATCAATTAGACAGGAAGTGTCCTCCAGATCTGCTGAAGAGCCACATCAAGCACATCTACAGATCTTCTGCATTTTAGGCAAAATACTGCATTGTGGCTAGATTATTTTAGTCAATATAATCAAAGTTACAAAATCATAATCAATTTATATACTGTCTGGCAATTTCACTAGTTTCTATTTTGCTAGCGTGATTCACCCGGGCTGACATTGTTCAGAACAAAGCTTTCAGGGAAGGCAAAGGCAAACAACAACAAAAAATTACTGTCAACTATAATCCCAATTCTAACAAAGAGAAAGAGAAATGAAAGTTCTTTGGGTGGTTTTTCCCGACTTCCAAACAAACGACCCGCAAAAATTCATTCCAGGAAGATCACGAAGAACAATCAAGCAAAGAAAAGAACTAAACTAGACGCCAATGGATGGAGCTAGTGCTAGCGTTTTAGAGAAAGATCGCTTACCAGGATTGCCTTGTGTGCGCACACGTCTGGCCCATCACACGCCTTGAGCATCACATCCGACACTGGCAAATCTAGGGTGTCCTGGTCCCAGGCACGCAGGAATTTGGCCTGGCACGCCACTGCTTGGAGGCGGCACTCCTTGTCCCGGAGGTGTCCCCACCAGCGACTCCAGCCTGTGGATCCGGCCCCTGTGGCATCGATCACAATACGCGAACTCCATCGCATAGGAGCGAAACTCGTACCCTGAGAGGAGCTGGAATTTTTTTCTTTAGACGAATGCCGCCACGTGGCGTGTTTGAAAACGCAGCTAAGTTAGGTTAGGACTAGATAAACAAAAAGCCCTATGTTAAAAGGTAAATCACTATATAAATCTAGGTATCAAAGTGATCACAACACAACAAAGGATCAATGAGGAAGCTTGTGGTGGTTGCTTTCTTGGCTATATTCTTTGCAGGAGCTACTTCTTCGTGATTGTTAGCGTCTACTCCACCACGATCTCCATCGCCAGGATCTCTAGCAGTGGAGAAATCGATTTCTATAGCTGTTTCTTACACAGGAAAGGATACCTTCGCCGATGGAACCCTTTTGACGTGCCCGCAAACCGCGATTCCTCCCAACGTTATGGTCCCAGGAGATGTTGATCCTGCACAGCTTTACTCCATCGTGATGATAGATGCTTCGCGGTCGATGTTTACATTGGCAGATCAATTCACGTACGTCCACTATTGGATCGCCAACATCCCTGGATCAAAGGTTGACGCTGGCACAATTTTGGAGGAGTATATGAGGCCTGCACCCCACGACTTCGTGCAGCACAAGTACGAGTACTGTATAAGCAGCAAGGGCAGATCAATACGCCTCTCGCGGATAGATTCGTCAAGGACTGGGAAGCGGTCGCAAGCGCTTACAACCTTGGCAGCCCAGTAGCAACAACTTCCTTTGTTGTGCAGCTCACCCTAAACTTTAGAACGAGAATGTTCCAATGTTAAAAAGGTGGCTTCTTTGAATCATTGCGTGATGTTCGAAACTAGAGAAAAGAGATTCAACTATTGTTAGAACAAGATCGTCCCAATGTTATAAAGGTGGCGAGATTATAGAAATGTTCTTTGAATTAAGAGCGAAAATAGAGACCCGGATAGGACGACTTCGCCTCTATCCTTAACTCTACACTTGAAGGAGATCCTGAAAGAAGAAGCAAGCGTTACGGGGATGATCTAGCAAGAGAAATGATTGCGACTGCTTACTGCGAGCTCTTGCCTTGTTCAACGTTACGAGCATTTCCCCGGATAGACGTGGTGCAGGAACCTGGAGCTGATCGTTGCAATTCTCATCGGATCACCATCGCAGCCGCACCGAATTATAGCTCTCACGGCATAGCTAAGCATGCAAAGCCCATGACGAATGGGACGCTGGAAGCTGTGTTTTTAAATCCCGTCACAGACGTCATTCGCAAGAACAAAAAAGCTTTCTGCGGCGAGCTTTGGGTCCGAATGCAAGGGATTCATGTCTCAGAGTCGCCTACATCACGGACGAGTAACTTATGTTCTACAAGGAAAAACTAAAAATGAAAGTTAATCTTTCGTTGCCTGGTTCGGCCTGATTTGATCTTCAAGCTCGAAGTCTGGAGGAGTTGCGTCAAATTCTTTCTCATTGAAACTGATGGGAAACTGTGACGATGTTCGCAACGAGAAGGAGAACGGCTTTCCAGGACCTGCCTAGAATCCTCCAGCACCGCGTAAGAATACCAAAGTCCTGCAAAATTGTTGACTTAGGCTAGGCCTACTCTCTGTTCAATCATACAAAAGCTACAGCACCTTTGCAGACATAGCAGTTCCCCGGTATTGATGCAAGAGTTCCATTTCAACCACTAGAAAAGTGGCGCATAGGCCTATCATTTTGCGCATGAAAAACGAAACAGTCGTACCTTTGTCACGAAGACCTGAAATTCGTTTGCTGCTACGAACCTGAATTTACAAAGATAAAGACACTTGAAATTCAAGGAAAAGGAGAAAAGAGAAACCTTACCCGTGCACTCGTTGGATGTGGTTTGTAAATCTCCACATACTGTTCACCACCAGTAGCTTCGGATCAAAGTTGCAAATTATATACATTTTTTTCCAGGCTAAAACAAGAGATGGCAGTTAGGTTAGGAATTAGATTTTGTAACTTTGATTATGAATGGGAAGATATAATCTAGAAAGACGCTTGCTGTCTGATCAATCTTGGTGCCAACAAAATCTGGTGAGTTCTGTAGATTGTGATCCAAAAGCTACAGCAGCAGATAGAGGTGGAACTGTGATGGAGAGATATCCACAGCAGCACACTGGGAGCCAGATGAAGGAGCCTCAGATTCAAATTATGATAGCGGCACATTGGGAGCCGGAGGAGCCAGGCAGAGATCTCCAATCCAAGAGGATTTTCATCCAGATGGATGAATGTAACCTCTCATTAACTACACAAGAAGACACTCTACAGAAGTTTGGTGGTGTGTCCCTAAAGAGACTATTAATGTCAAGCATGACATTCTGCCATAAATACCTTCACTTCTGGAGAACATGAAACAGATGGCTTGAAGGAACTCTATTAGTGATTAAGGAATTTTGGCATGGCAGTAAATTTTGATAGAGTCATGGATTTTCTGTCGGGATCTCATTTCTGCATCAACATCTCCACATGCAATGTGAATGGCAAAGAAAATTTACAAGAGGAGAAAGATCACAAAAGGTGATTGTTTGTTCATTCTTTTTTTCTTGCGTGTTCTTATTTTCAGGGTCCCATGCTTAGCATCACTCCAAAGAAGGCCAATTGGGACTTGTGTAAAAACCTACAAAGAAGCTGGAGAAACTAGAGAAACAAACAATGCATGCTATTCTAAGCTTCTATGTTCTTGAAACTTATCTTAGTTTTCTTTCTCTCTGGCTGCTCAAAGAACCTCGAAGAAGGCAAGATTTAGTTTGATTGCTTCATCTCAAGTGCTTGACATTGCCAAGGTTTGGGAGGCTATAGCATCATCACAGTACCACTAAGTTGCGATCAGAGGAGAACAATCTCAAAACACACTCACCGACCAGCTCTAAATGGAGTGCGACATAAGTCAATTCCATTCATGTTGATGTCTTGCTTAAGCAATCTCTCTGGAGACCAGATGGATAGATCTTTGGACCACATGTTTACTATGGCTATGCAGGGATGTGGTGAGCAGCCAAACTTACATCATGAATTGCCAACCGAGACAAGGAGACCAAGGATGCATCTGAAGAGTTTCCTTCACAACAGCTTGGAGGTACACCATTTTCATACTTGGCAACTTTAGACTTTCAAACTATACCAGTAATCTCATTGCACAACCTTCTTTTTGATTTCAGGATGGATAGCAAGCTCCACTCCATTCAGTGAAGAGAGCAACGGTGTCAGGCCTTGGAAAATCATCTCCTATGAAGTCACAGAATCAGAAACATTATGTACGTCACTAGAGCAGGAACTGCATACTACTAAGATGATGTTTATGCATTTTAAAGTGAAAATACATGTTAAGAATAACTAATTAGAATGAAAAGTGGTATAGTGAAAAGGTGGCTGCTTTTTATGTCATGTGTAAAAAATACAATCATTAGCATTTCACTATACCACAATTCCATCTAGTGAAATTTTTGTCATTCTTCCTAAAATTTTGCCATAAAAGTTTCCATAAAAGTTTTTTTGAAAAAATCCTCTGTCCAGGCTGGCAGTGTTACTTGAGGCTGTAAATATCACCAGCAAGCCTATTATTGAAAAGAACTGTAAATGTGGGAAGAACCTATGTAATGACTTCTAATTGTCAATAAAGGAAGAAAAAAAAACACTTAGTAGTATTTACCATGAACTTTATGTTCTTCCATAGTTTCCATGAATGTAGCGCACTTGAATTTGGAGTTGAACTCCAAACCCATTACACTATAAAATGAGGGTCTGGTACAATTCCACGAGCACCAGCTCCCCGTATCCAGCACCTGCACGCAAAATGGTGTCAAACGAAATCTGGCACAATTTTAGCATACCAGTGGCCTAACGCGAGGAGGAGGGTACTGTGAGACACAAAATCCCTAGGCCCCAAAGTGGAGCCAGAAGGGCGCCACATGGTAGTGGCCGAAGCGAGAGCCAAACGAGCGTAACACGTTTGGACCAAAAGCTCCGACTTGAAAAGTCAAGAGCGGGAGTGGAACTCCCAACGAAGTGCTCGAGGAACGAGCACGAAGCGAGCAAAAGGCGAGGCTCCAAAAAGGGACCCAAAAGGACCAACACATGACACGTGGGAGTGTCCGAGATGGACTCGAGTTGGAGTCCGAAGTGGAGTCCGAGATGGACCCGAGTTGGAGTCCGAAGTGGAGTCCGAGATGGACCCGAGTTGGAGTCCGAAGTGGAGTCCGAAGTGGAGTCCGAGATGGACCCGAGTTGGAGTCCGAAGTGGAGTCCGAGATGGACCCGAGATGGAGTCCGAGATGGAGTCCGAAGTGGAGTCCGAGGTGGACCCGAGATGGACCCGAGTTGGAGTCCGAAGTGGAGTCCGAGGTGGACCCGAGATGGACCCGAAATGGAGTCCGAGATGGAGTCCGAGATGGACCCGAGATGGAGTCCGAGATGGAGTCCGAGATGGACCCGAGATGGACCCGAGATGGAGTCCGAGATGGAGTCCGAGATGGAGTCCGAGATGGAGTCCGAAGTCGAGACCGAGACCGGGACCGAGACCGAGACCGAGACCGAGACCGAGATCGGGACCGAGACCGAGACCGAGGCCGAGGCCGAGACCGAGGCCGAGCCCGAGTCCGAGTCCGAATCCGAGTCCGAGTCCGAGTCCGAGTCCGAGTCCGAGTCCGAAGCCTGAGAGGGTGAAAGCCCAAAGCGTTCGTCTCCCAGACCCTGGGGGGTTTGGTGAGCTCCAAAAGTATAGTAAGGGGGAGGACTGCAGTGGAGCCAGTTTGGCCAGGAAAGGCCAGTTTGGCCCAGGAAGGCCGGACCCAGTGTTGGGTGATGAGCTGCCCACTGGGAAGTCCAAGACTAGAGTGAACACAGACCGACAAGCGGGGTAGCTTGGTGAAGTGTTCAAGAGCCGGCTCTAGTTCCCCCGGGAGATCGACTGGCCGATGCTCCCAATCCAAGTGTGGGTGGCACTACCTACTTGGATACCTGGTGTGGTTCAACGGAACCCGCTCTAAGCCCATGGCTAGAGCACCCAAGGGCAGAAGGCGAGGAGAGTACCCAGGTGGCTCGCGTAAGGCCACGGTGTTCCGAAATGTTGTCCCAAAGGCCCAGACTGTGGAAAGGAAGAGGAGCAGTCCTCTGGGGTAGTGACCAAGGACACAGTCGTGTGGTGAGGAAGTCCCAGAGGACCGTGGGACTTAGTGGTCGGGCCTGTGGGTCTCGATCCAGTGGCAGTGTTGGCAAACATGGCCAGAGGCAGAAAGGGACTTAGTGGGGACTAACAGAGGGATATTGGGGAAGGCTATTCCCCTTGTCGGTGGGCATCCTAAGGATGCTAAGGAGTGGATCTGAGATGACCACTCACGGATGGTTTGCCTAGTCTTGGAGAGCCAAGACGGTGATGCAAGTGGTATTGGACTACCAGTGTGGCAAAGGTGATTGGGCATGGCCTTAGCGTAACGGGCTGCTATGTCGGTGGTACCTTTGAGTGTCGGTCATGGGTTCGGACACGTGGAGCACTTGGACCAAGTGCAAATGTTGAGTGGCATGGATGCCATTCTCGGGGCTAGCAAGTCCCAAGTCCTGGATTGGACTTATGGAGGTTGTGAATGAGACTCCTCCAAGTGGTCAGAGGTGTGGTTAAGTGACTAAAGTAGAATGGAAAATTTAGTCGCTCACAGGTACCCCACCGACTAGAGCAGTGTGGAGTTGGGCTTAATCCCAAGCTGAACATAGAATAAGAAGCAACA